CACGCCCCGCCCCCACCCCCCAGCCGTGGCAGAGTGGGGAAACCCCAATTTTCACCAACAACTTCCACCTCTCCGGGAGACTTGGTACAGGAGAGCCTCTGCAGGTAAGAGGGATCCTCATGGAATTAATGCGAGGTGCAGGGCAGAGACTCGGGGGGATCAGCCAGCGCTGTGGGTTTGCTTGCTGCCATGCAGGGAGGGTGTAGGTCTGCGCACACACTGTTCTGCATCAGCAGCTTTTTGTCATTTCCAGGATATTTTAGCTTTGGGAAAACTCATTTAGCACACACCCTGCCCTCAGTCATCAGATCCTGGGCTCCTTATTCCCAGCAGCGGTCCACTGGGAAACAGCCCCCCTGCCCAGCATCGACCCGGCACATGGCAGCACCAGCCCACATCTGAGCAAGCCCCAGAACTCCAGGTTGTACACCCGCTCTGCTCCCCTGCCACCACTGAGCATATCAATATCATTACCTTAATTAGAGTTAGCTTCTGGGTAACATGCGCAGCAGGTAAAATTCAGTATTAGAATAAATTATAGCCATGTCACCAAGCCAAGAGGCAGAGGAAGGCAGATACCTGTGTATGTTTTTCTATAAGGAGGCTCTGCAGCCCTCCCTTGTTTTCTGTTTCCAGAAATGAAATTCTGACACACGCTGAGCAGCGTTAACCACTGCTGCTTCACCAGGGGCGAGAGATTTCCTCCAGGCACCAGGAGAAGGTGAAAGTAAATAACCCTCTGGCTTGATAGCAGTGACACTTCCAGAGGTAGAGGTCCTAGGGTGAATACAGATCAGGTCTGGCTGTACAACAAGAGGTTTCAAGTACTTCAAAACAGCAAGAACAACCAAATATTCCTGTTCTGGAAAATTATCCTCAGTAGGTATTTAACAAGTGCTTGTAAAGCACATGTACTTTTATATAAAAAAAAAAAATAAAATAAAATTAAACCCCCTCAATAAATGTCATTTTCTACTACTTTACATTTTCAGAAATAAAAAGAGTATGCTCAAGAGTACTTGAGCGATGAATTAGCTTGAGCCACTCTCTAAGCCTCCAAGAGAGTAAGTTTTATTTGGTTTATGAGGGTTCATCCTGGCTTTTGTGAAATCCCACTTCTCCAGTGAGGAGAATCTACTGCTACTTCAGTACAAGGGTGATAAATAAAAGTCACGAGAATGACTTCAGCTTGGGCCCTGTGCTCTCTTGGTGGTGACTGTGCAGAGGGACGATGCTCCTTTCTTGTTGACCTCGTGCAGATGTGCCAGGGACCACCCCTGCCCCAGGACCGAGCAGGTTTGGGGACAGCAAGTGCCCAGTTCCATATCTGTAGAGGATGAGAGCAAACCTCTTACAAGCCGTACACACGGACAGGATGAGAGGGAATAATTTTTTTTTTTTTTTAAAGTCTCATAAGGAAGAAATAACCTTCCCAAAGCCTTACACCTCCCCAGAACAAGCTTCTCCCAAGCATCAATCCCTTGCCTTGGGTCCCATGTTCCCAGCACCAGGAGCCACCTCCTTATATTTTACTTCCCCCTTGGAAATTCTTTATGCACCAATTTGTCCTGCAGATCAAGATGCAATAATTTAATAACTTCCCTCTTTTGCTACCACAAGGTGCCATTTCAGCACATCCTCCTGGGCAGCTGAATTTTGTCTCCAGAGGAACTGCTGGCGCTGGAAATTTTCAATCGAGGAGCCCATTCCTGCATGTGTGGAGCTGCAGCGGCTTCGCTCAGCGGTTAATCATTGCTGGTGCTCTGCAGAGCCCGGCAATCATTTATCTGATGGAGTCACCATCTCCTCCCATACCCCAGCACCCTCCCTCCATCACCTTCTCATTTTCTTCCTCAAGAGCCCTACCTTGGCAATCTTCCACAGAGCTCATTTAAAGGGACCATGGAAGTCCCCCATAAGATGATCTGCAAATTATCTCTTTTTCTTTTTAATATAATTCCTGCACTTTAACCCCAACTGTCCTTGCCTGCATCTTGGGGCTTCCACCACATCGGAAAAGGACATTTTCAGCAACACCTTGCTCAACTCCATGTATAAAATGGCATTTGAATGCACTAAGACAGCTTTTTTTTTTTTTCTAGGAGAATAAGATGGGATGGAGAAACCCTTTTGTAAAAGTAGTATTTACTGCATATGCAAGAATTTTGTGAGAAAAAAAAATAAGGCAGTGATGTCCACCCAAGAACACGAGTGCAGAACAGCCTCCAGCTCAGGTCATGTCCAGACCTCGGTGAAAGTCCTGCTTTAATAATTAACAGGTGGTTGCTGGTGTGTAGGATGTTATCTGGGGCTGATTTCCAAAGATGAGGGTCTGAGATCATACTCCTTGTCTGATTGTAACCCACTAACTTCTGAACCCACTGGCTGGCTTTAGCCCAGTTATGCTGTGGTCAGTAAAACCATTGGAGAGATTTGTCAGTTCTACCAAAAAAATAACAATAATAAAGTCTGTGGCATTGAGCAGCAAGAAAAGACCCAAACTGCTGTCTTTTTTCCACTTTGTGACCCGATGGTCACAGGCCATGAGAGAAGAAGACTCTTGGCCATGAGAGAAGAGGACACATGGGGGACCCAGGGAGGTCACAGGAGACATGTAACATGGTTGTGGCCATGAATAGGATGTATGAAGGGTTATAGAGGGAATTCAGAGAGGCGTGTGGCAGGCATTTGTTAGAAGGCACAGGTATATCCTCACTTTATTTCCACAGCTAATAGAATAATTTATACCATGTGTTGGAGTACACCAAGAAAGACTTAGTAGGACATGCTAACCACAAAATAGGGCAGAAAACTATTGCTGAGTAGATCACCCAAAGGTAATTTTACCCATTTCTTCTCTAATCCTTAAGGGCCCCTTTCTTTCAACACTGTGCCGGAAAAGAGAAAAACCAGCATCATTAAACAGCACCCACCTCGAAGACCTCAAGTAAGACAAGTTTGAAAAGCTCCCTACGAGTTGCTCTGATGGACTCATTGCTGTGGGATTTCTTGGGGACATGGTCACGTGTCACAGCACCGCGGGGTGGGAAACAAGTATCCTATAGCAATGCAAGTAGCAAGCCCTGCCCCTACATGGCCATCCCTAGAGGAGCTTTATCACCAGGGTTGATACCCAAAGCAGAGCCACAGAGAGGTTATTTTTGGTTCATTAACACAAGGAGAAGGACTTCATCTTCTGAGAACAGTCGAAGAGGGGCCAACGCAGCGAGGGCTGCCTTTGCCCTCCTGCCTGCCTCCATGGGTGGTGTCTCCCCGGCCAACCCTCCTGTGCTACGGAGGCACCCAAGGAGGACACACATCCCAGTCCCTTTTCAGAAGGGACCCAACTTGCACCATTTGGCGCTGGTCTGGGCTCTTCAGGCCAACTATCCCATGAAGGTCTGGTGGCAGCTCAGGGGCAGAGGGGCAGCTAAAGCAGACCGACGTGCTTTGCAATAGAGGCCGGTGAAAGCACAGAGCAATTATTTTAGTTTTCAGGAATTGTTGGGTACCTACATGTTCCTCCACCTTCTTCTCCCCTCAAAATCATGGTATGTACATAAACACACCCCCCTATATATCAAGATATAAAAAGAAAACTCCCAACACCAAACATAAAGTACCCTTGTTCACTCCTCCTTGACCTCTTTCTCTTCCCCTCCAAGCCCTGAAACTCATGACTCAGCCTAACCTGGAAATCAGGTATTCCCCAACCCAAGAATTACCACACCATAACTAAGCCTCCAGAAATACCTTTATATCCATGTAATTTATTGCAGAAGAGGAAAGGAGGTGCCATGCCACACAAGGGTCAGAGGTGTTATTTCATTTTATGAAAAAGTGACACAAAACCCTTCATGTACATTTTCAGTGTTGGTATTTTTCTGCACCAATGCCTTTATACAATACAAGACCTGGGTGAAGCTCAGGCTTCAGGCATCCCCATCCTGTGCTCACAGGGCAAAACTGGAGCTGCGTTACCAGAGCTGCCCAACTCTTGCCTTAAACCAGATTATGTAAAATCCAAACCCAGAGAAACACTCTGCTTTTCTCTGCTCTACCTGAGATTTTGTTGCTCCTCCCAAACCAGGCAGCAATTCTTTCCAGCTTCCCATCTCTTACCTGCTCAACCTCGAGGATGAAAAGCTGCCGGTGTTTGGCTGAGATTGAGTTCTCCCTCCTTCCCTACATGCCAGAGGGTCAGGAAAAGACATTGCGGATGACAAGCTCAGTTTACTCTGGATGCAAAGCTTCAGCTCCTCCATTTTGCTCCTCAGATCTTCTTCTTTCAGAACCCCTGCTTGAGGATTTTGGCTGTGTTTCTGCTCTGCTGCTCAGTCCAGGTCTGAAAGCTCCAAACCTAAGAGCAAGCAGGGCTCAGAAGAATATAATCAGGCAGGGAAAAGAGAAAACTTCATCAGACCCCTCCAAGTGCAAGGGCAGCAGGGTGTTCTGCTTGGGGAAGCACTCAGCTGCTGGAAATAACCCTCCAACCTCGTGGTCTCCTTCAGGGAGGGCTGCAAATTAGCAATTAAGGACTAATGTTGTACCTGCTGCTGAGACCTCTTTAAGAGACCCTGGCTGTAAGGGGCAACAGCAGAAGCCTGATTAGGTGAGAAGAGTCCTCAGTGGCTGGTGATTGGGGGTAAATAAACATATTTCTGGGGTGTTTAACCCAAGAGATGCTAACCTGAACGAGATGTGTTTGCCCTGACTTCTTCAGGTGCTGGGTTGTCCCAGCACCGGATGCAGCTTGAAGAAGCCCTGGGCTACACCATCATCCAGCTAACCTCAGCTGCCCACACTGGTTACCTTCCTTCCCAAGTACCTACCTTGACATTAACATCCTTGGGTGAACATCTGACCTTCCTGTGCCATTTTGAGACCTCCCTGTTCCTCCCTGAGAGCATCTTCATTCTCCCAAAATTTGGCGACAAACCTGCACGTATCGCACAACACCAAACCTGCTGGAGAAGGCTGCTTAAGCATTCCTTGCTGTAATGAAGGTCTTTTTAATAAAATAAAGAACAGAAGAATGAGGTCAGTTAAGCCCCCTCCACTTTAGGCTGTGGTTCTGGCCAAGACTGGTGGCTTCAGAGAGTTCAGGCAGCTGGTGACTATTGAACGAGGTGGCCCTGGGTTTGGTGGGAGGATGAGGCAGCAGCACCTGGAATAAGCCTAGCTACGCCCTGTGAACTGTCATGCAGAGTTGCAGCCTCATTTAAAAACCTCCCAACAGTGTTTTTAGTCATTGATTGCCTCCTCCCTGGAAGTGTTCATGGCCAGGTTGGTTGGGGCTTTGAGCAACCTAGTCTGGTGGGAGGTGTCCCTGCCCACGGCAGGAGGGTTGGAACTGGATTACCTTTAAAATCCCTTCCAATCATTCTATGGTTCTATGGACTTATTTCCGTTACAGCTGTATTTATATATAATTAAAACACTGATAATACTCCTTACAGGACAAGGACACTGTTAATCCTACCCCATGCTTCTGCTCTCGGGGAGTGTAAACTGCATCAGCAAAAGCCCTTTTCCCTGTGGGAATATTTTCAATGACAGTGGAGCAGGATGACGTGGCCTTCTCAAGGACTTTTAGAGGATTCCTGTCAGAGAGTATTTCCAGAGAAATATCCTGTGGGGCTCACAGAGTCAAAAGAAAAGAGTCAATTTTCCAGCCTGTGACAAAACTTGAGCCGAAAGTCCCAGACTTGGCTTACCCACTGGGCACAGCGTGATGAGACAACAGATGGAGGGATTCATTTGCCGCTGGCTGCCTTGGTGGCATCTAGGGATGATGCACAGCCTGGGCCACAGTTTGTGGTGTCACATGCTGCCATCTAGTGCCATATTTTAAGTTTTATATTCAGTTTTGTGGGTTTTTGTTTTGATGCTAAGAGATATACAAACTTGGCATTTGGGGCTGGTGGGCAATTCCCCCTTTACATGACGCTGCTTTTTTTTTTCTGCTGCTTTTTTTGCACTGATTTACAGGATGCTTCAAGATTACAGCTCAAGCTTTGGTAGCAGCTCAGTGCAGACAGTTGGAGACATAGATTCATAGAACCATGGAATCATAGACTCATAGAATGTTCAGAGTTGGAAGGGACCTCTAGAGATCACCTAGTCCAGCCCCCCTGCCAGAGCAGGATCACCCAGAGTAGGTCACACAGGAATGTGTCCAGGTGGATTTTGAAAGTCTCCAGAGAAGGAGACTCTACAACCTCTCGGGGCAGCCTGTGCCAGAGCTCTGTCACCCTCACAGTAAAGAAGTTTCTCCTCATGTTGAGGTGGAACTTCCTCTGTTCTAACTTAAACCCATTATTTCTTGTTCTGTTGCTGGGCACCACTGAGAAGAGATTGTCTCCTGCCTCTTGACCCCCACCCCTCAGATATTTATGTATGTCATCATTATTTGTATACATGTCACCATTTATTTGACACTAGTTCATATTCAAGGAGTTAATGATGTTTCACATAAAGTGTAAGTCAGATTTTACTGATTAAGTCCTTGATGATCTTCCCCTTAATTTTTATTCACGCTATCCCTGATTTCCCATCCTAGAAGAGGACACTAGCAATATCAAGCCATTAAATGACCCAATATTACCTCATAGTTTGGCATCATTTAAGGAGACAACTCAGAATCATAGAATTATAGAACTGTAAAATGATAAAATCACTTAGGTTGGAAAAGACCTTTAAGATCATCAAGTCCAACTGTTAACCTAGCCCTGCCAAGTCCACCAACTTAGGTCCTTAAAATAAAAATCCATGCTTAGAGCAGTCTGGAAAGCATGTTTCTGCCCACTTCCATTAGCCACCAGAAAAGGCACTTTGCGCTGTGCACAGTTCCACAAAAATAGGTCTTATTTAGGTCAACATAAAAGAGATTGTTTGAACAGAGGGAACGCTGCTCTGGGTCTCAGGTAACTGGAATCTGCCCTTGACCTGCTAGGAGACTTTATATTAAATCATGATACCTCTCCATGCTTCAGTTTTGACATGAATCTGAGTGGGCTTTGTCTTCACTCTGGTTTTGGCTGGAGCCTTGGGCACTGCTGGTGCTCAAAGAGAAATAACTACAGGGGTGAAACTAATGTCAAACTGGGTTTTTGCTACTTCGACTATAATGTAGGAGATTCCCCTAGTTTTGTCTATTCCTGAAGGACCAAAGGAGATGTTAATCTTGCTGAGCATCTGCCAGAGATGCCAATCTCCTTCCTGTATCCCAAGCAGCCAGAATTGGAGCTGGAAAAATGTCAAGGTAGTTTCACATCAGGTTTTATGATTGTGTGGAAAAAGCAATGCTATTATGAATATTGGACTTGTAGAGGCTTGAACCAGCTGGCCCTCCGCAAACAATTGCTCCTGCAAAGCCCTGGAGTCATCAAGATGTGGATGCAAGCCCAAAAACAAAGGTAAGAGCATGGGTCAAATCCAGTGCAAGGGCCATTGCTGGCTGCAGGGTCTCTCAGCTCGGGTAACCTGAAGATCAGAAATTGGTGGTTTACACTCACTGTGCTCTTATGCCTGGCTGAGCCCAGGAACCAGCTGAAACACCGATGTATGGGTGATACAAAATAAGGGGAAAGTATCTGAATCTCCAGCAGGGCAGTTCCTTGGATGAGGTGCACCTGCTGAGCCAGGACCTTAGATATTTTTGAGGCTAAATGTTCAAGGACCACTTTTTTAAATGGCTGGGCAACTTGAACACCCATTGCTGGCAGCAAGTGCTGCGTGCCTTAAAAAGCCTCCTACAACCTTAAATGTGTGAAATGGCTTCCTCCCTTTGGATCGTGAGAATATCTTGGACAAAGCAGGAACACCTTGAGGCAGAGGGGGAAAGAAGCAATGTATACATTGTTTTAATGAAGGGGTTTTTTTTTCTCCCAACGTGCCCCAGAGCAGTGACATAAACTGCAAGCACATTGAAAAACTGTGATAAATCACTGCAAGTTGGCTACGAAGGGAAAAACTCGCTGCCTTTATCTTGGGAGGGCCCAAGGGACTGGGAATGGGTTTGCAAGCTATTGGCTGTTCCTTTCTCTTTCAGAAAGAGCAGGTGTATTTATTCACGTTTTTGAATACCTCATAGGGTTTGGAGAAGAGGGGCCAAAGCCTGATACCCCTCCCTGGCAGGCGGCAGCACTTGCACAAGCTGCAGATGCTGGACTTGACGCGCAGGCGCCGAGAGGTAACACCAGGATGGATTTGGGGAGGGGCTGGGGCTTCCCCTCTTGGACAGGGCTTTGTCCATCCCTAGTGTCTCTCCCATGGACCAAGGGGCTTAAAGCCTCTTGCTGAGGAGCTCAAATGAAGCTTTCCCTGTGGCTCAGGCAGAGGAGAGGTGGGGAGAATCCCTGGGTCCCCTGTGATCAGTAATTACTTCTGATTTTTCCAGCACTTTGCTCTTGTTTGGCCATGGCTCATGGAGAAACCAAAAAGCTTTCTCTGGGTCATGTTCTGTCACGTACCCGGTTTGGCAAATATCTTTAAACTACTCGACTTCCTAATTATTTTCAGCACCAGCCCCCTAATGATATGCCATGTCGAGCTGTTAAAACGTGTTTGCTCCTCTTGCTGCTTGTGTTGACAACTCGTTTGCAAACTCAGGCAGAGCTGAAGCGCAATCTCCACAGGGAGACAAAAATCCATAAACAAAAAATCAAGGAATTCAGCCCAAAGAAAGTCCTTGACACTCTCCAGAGATGCGACAGCGCCGAAAGCCGAGACCTCTTTTGAGCACAATCAGCGTTTTCATGGAGGCGATTGTGGTAAGTAGAATAATTTGTCAAGCGGATGTAAAACTCACCAGCCTCTTAAATGCTATCAAAGAAGCTTCCTCATGGAAGCTGCTTGCACTGCTCCATTTCCTGCAGTGACACGGTGCAAGTTCAAAAGTGGAGGAGAAGGCTGGGAGGTGTGTTTGCAAAGCAAAGCGTTGGGATGCCTTAGAGCAGCACACAGGTCTCTGGGCTGTTTCTCTGGTAGCATCCAAACAGACCTGAGCAGGTGTGAATTAAAAGACATGGAACAGCCACTGGAGCATTAAAACAAAGCCCCCAGGGCCAGACCTCTGCAGGAGCGTATTCCCACCAGCAGAAGACTCTCAGCTTGTCCCACATCTCCCCTGCACAGCAAACTGAGTGTAAGGACAGAGGGTGTCCGTGGGGTCCCACGTCCTTCCAGAGTTGAGGGTCCATCAGGCAAAAGTGTCTGAGGAGGTGAGCGTACAGACATACATGGGCTGGGGGAAACCCCTGAAGCTGCACCAACATGATGGCCAAAAGGGTGAAGGAGAAAAAAAAAAGGAAACTAATTGCCTGAAGGTTAACCCTTGCACCAAGTTTTGCCCCCTGTCCTCTGCCCCAGCACTGAGCCTGGGGCATTGCTCAGGTGGATGGAGGTTGTGACAACTTCACAGTGGTCACTCTGGCAGGGTTGGCAGATGCTGATTAAATTGTGCCCTGCCAGCTTGCCTTCAATCTTGAGACATGAGCTACTCTGGCAGAGCTTCCACCACAAAAAGAAGCCAAGCCCCAGCCCCACGCTGACCCAGTGAGGCCCTTCCTGGAGGGATCACAGGGCTGAACCCCTGGTAGCTGCAGTCATTGGTAGATACACAACTGCATGGGTCCCCAGCAAAATATATCATGGCTCATGGTGCAACCAACCAGCTCAGATCTTCAGCTGAGTTCAGGAAGGGTGCTCTTCAGAAGAGCTCTTCTGCTGCACCAGGTTGGTTACACCTTAGATTATTCTGCTCTGGATTGTTATGTTCCCTTGCAGCAAAAGGGAAAACTGGATTTGAGATTGCTGGTTATTTTCAGTGACCTTGTAAGTGTTTTTTGGGAGAATAGTCAGTCTCATCTCTTCCACTTGACATGGATGAAGGACTGAGCGAGAGCAGTCACATACATTTTGGGGTGTTGAACCTTGCAGTAAGTCTTCCCAAGCAGAACAAACCATGAGTCACCATCCCTGGAGGTATTTAAAAGACATGTTGGTATGGTGCTTAGTGACATGATTTAGTGGTGGACCTGACTTTGGTAGGTTAACAGTTGGGCTCGATGATGTTAAAGGTCTTTTCCAGCCTAAATGATCTCTGTGATTCTAAAATTAGTTGCGGGTTGTTTGGTTTTTTCTCTCTCCAAGGAAACACATGGGGTGAAGGACTCTCCAGACAGCATGACGGAGCTGAATTCTCCCCGGGCAGGAGCAGGAAGGTTGACCTGTGGTTCTGCAGGGAGCCACGGACAAGGGATCTGTTCTGGGACACCTCCAGCACAAGCTCTGAGGAGTGGGAAAGGGAAGATAAGATTTACTGCAAACATGCACTTGTGAGAACCAAGACGGAGAGAGTTTCTCTCTTCGATGACTTCTTTGATAGGGATTTCTAGTGGCACAGCTCAGGGCGAGAGCAACAATCTGGTGGGTCTGACCCCCCCACCCCAGATGGATGGACTGAGGGTGGAGACACGATGTGGCAGTAATTGGCATTTCTGAGATTACGGGCCAGTGGAAAGGACGTCTGGAAATGAGGAGATCACTGACGCAGAGTGATAAATGACTGTTTGAGTTGTTTGGCTGGATCAAAATATCTGGATCAAAATGGCTTGGACCAGACAACAACGAAGTGGGGATGAAGGAAGGAGGAGGCTGGCAAAAACGCCCAAGCAGAAGCTGGAAAATATTATGGGTTAACCCCAAATGTTAAGTTCCAGCTGAAATGAAATGTTTCGCTTGCCTTTGGGTTACTCAGCCTTTCTGTTTAACTTGTTTTTAAGCTCACATACTTTTGTAAACCACAAAAACCCAGTTCAAAACGCAAGGTGAAATGATTTGTTTAGGAAGTCTTTAAAATAAATATGCTGGCATTTCTAAAATTCCTTTTTGACATTTATTTATTTTTTTTAAATTTCTGCTCCTCCCCTGCCCTGGACACAGAAGTACATGTACTTCCTTCAGTACTAACCTCCAGTTTTATGGAAAATTTTCTGGAAAAGCTGGCTTTCATTCATTTACCTTCTCTGTGCTATGTAGTTAACGGTGGAAACTGAGGGATCTCCAACATCTCCTGCAGACACACATCCCACCAGTGCTGGCCAAGGCTGTGGCATCCACAGAGAATTTGAACAAGGTGCCCTGTTGCAACCTGACATTTCCACGTATATTGAAAAAGACAGTTATGTGGAGGATACCAGATCTATCAAAGAGATCCTTGCAGCTTCCATCACTGTTAAACTGTATTTTTTTCATAATGTTATCTGCTTTTCCTTATAACATCATTCATGATCTGAGAGGGAACTTCACCCAGTTCTCCTGTTTCTGTGGGTCCATAAAAGCCATCACGATAAAGGTGCAGCAGTGTCGAGGGCGGGCTGGTCACTGACAGATGCTCTCTAACCCCTCTCCTGCCCCAAAATTGGAAGAGAAATGGAATAAGGCTGAGAGACTTGCAGATTGGAAAAGAAAACTACAACAGCTTTAATCAAACAATAATAGTACTAATAAGGAAATAATAAAAATAATGAAATATATGCAAATATATACAAAATTGAACTTGATTTCCCACCTCCCGACAGCCATCCCCAGTGGTGCTGCAGAGCAGGCGGCACCGGGGAAGCCCCAGGCTCAGTGGCAGAGGGCAACCAGGCACAGGGGTTGGATTCAGGAACTCAGAATCAGGATCAAAGGCAGAAGATCAGATGGAGTCCTTCTCAGACACTGGCCATCAAAGGAGAGGCCTTAACCCCCATAATCTCTCAGTGTTATACTGAATATGACGTCTATGGAATGCAATATTCTTGTTGGTGACTTCTCCTGTCTATTCTTTCCTTGTGAGCCCTCTTACTTCCCAGCACACAGGAGCCAGCAGTGACCTTGGTCACTATAGGAATAAGTATCAGCAAGAGCCTTTCTTCATCCCCATCCCAGGCAGTAACTGCAAACATCAGGTGTTAGCACTGCCAGGAGCACACACTGTCTGCAAAAACACGGTGCTGACTTCAGAAAGTGCAGCCTCTGAGAAGAGGCTGAGCTGAAAAGGACAAGTCACTGAACAGACTTGGTTCTCTTTAGCTCAAACCAGGAAAATCAGTTTTGCAGAACACAGTAAGTCATCCAGACACACATATAGAAGGATACCCTGGAATTTCAGCTATGCATTTTACAGTTATTTTAGTGTGACACACTGGGTATGTGGGGAACTGGTGTCACACAAGGGAGGGCGAGAGCCCACCACCAGCCCTGGCCCTGGGAAAAAAACCTGCCTGGTTCCCAGCATCTATTTACCTGTGTTTGAAGTTGCAGAGCTGATGAAAGTCATTAACTCTTCACTGAATCTCCCTGGGTTGCTTTCCATTTGGCCTTTCTAAAACCTACGTAGGGGTAAAGCATCTTCAATTCAGCTCGTTGGCACAGGGCAGGGACTCCAAGAGTAACAAATACAATTCTCATTGCAGCAACTTTCATCTCCTTCAGCTGGGTATCTTATCCTCTTATTTTTCAACTTGAGACAGCCAGAATAACTAGATCTGGAGTCAGTTCTCAATTATCCGGGACAGCGCAGGACTTGGGCAGCTCAGGAGAGATGAGCCATGTCCTGCATCACTGTCTCTCTCAAACCTACGCTACCTCCCACAAAGCTATTCTGGATGTTTCTGCGCTGCATCCTCAGCTTCCTAGATTACAGAGCCACAAAAAGACCAGGAGACAGGTTTTTGCACATCTTTATGGGAATTAAACACCCATGTCTGACTCAGTTTCAACAGCACTTAGCTATTTCACTCTCTAGAGCTTTACTGAAAATCCCAGGCAGAGCAGGAGCCTGGGACAGTCAAGAATCACAGCCCAAGCCCCACATCAAAGCTGGAGTCTGCAGTCTCCAGCACAGCTTCCCAGTACTGAGCTTCTCTGTCACAGTTTCACCTCTCTCTTTTTGACACTCCTAAATGTGTAGCCCATTACAGCATGTCTCTATGCTTCATGGAGAAAACTGCTCCTTGGAGAAAGCCCACACAACCAGGCATGATTTCACCAAAAAGCCAAGAAAATAAACTCCAGTGCCAGGAAGGAGGAAGAAGGGAAATGATTTTAATGAGAAAGGAGAACTGTTTGTAGCTAATGACTTCATGTTTGGAGCCTGTGTCTTTTAAAAACGCCCCTGAGAACTTTGCTGATAAACACGGTCACCATGTGTCAGCTGGAAATATCGTGAGAGCTTTGAATTCAACGTTGAGGGTATGTTGAAAAGGTCAATGATTTAATGGGCTGGAACAATTAATCTGGCACTTGTCTATACACCTGTTCTCTTAATGATGTGACACATCTCCCTTCTGTGTTCCCATCTGTCAACAATTAAGCTATAATTGGTGGAAATGCAATTTATCTCAGATAGAGCTGATTAGTTTTCCAATAATCATGTTGCCAGCGTTGGGGAAGAGTGCTGCCCACGGAGAGGTGTATCTGGACCAGTCGATCCACATCAGATTCTGCAGAGAAGAGACTCTGAACATTAATTTATCTAAATTGTGTGCAAAATTTGCTCTTATGGAGGTGATAAAACCAGCAAACCCACTTCCTACTTCTGGCGCTCAAAATTGTTTGACTGCCTGGCTCTTGGTTGTGTTCATTCATCATAACCTGCAGAGAGGCAGGTGGCAACTCATCCTCTTCTCGTGTTTTCTAACATCCTTCCAGAGGCTGGAAATTAAAATGTTTTCTCTATTCCTAAAGGTGAAACTTAGACTTTTCCACAAATTACAGAAGATGGGGGGGAGAAAAACCACCACAAAACACAACGCGTGTGCTGCACCTCATCCCAGAAGACTTTACAGAGCTGGTTTTCTCTGAATAGCTCTCCATTCCAAATGCTGGAGATTAGCCGAGCCATCTATGAAGAGGGTGACTCTTGGCACTTGCCATAATGAGCACACAAATCTCCAATCCCAGTTATTCACCACAGGAACCAGTGCCTAGCAGAGCCCCTAGCCTTGACCCCAGCATGCCCCACCCCTGAAGTTGAAATAAAACTCTTTGGTCTGCCTCCATGGTCTGACATTTCCCTGTGTACCATGGATGGACAGAACTTCTGCTGGCTAAAAAACTGTTTCTGTATGTAACCCCAGCCACTCAGCTTTGAAGCAAGGCTGGACCCGTCCTATGGGTCAAATGTGTCTCCACAGAGGAGCTGTGTTGAGATAGACGCTACTCAGCCCAGGTGCAGAGCCTTCAGAAAATCCATGTTACCGGTTTTCAGCAAAATGACAAAGAACGTGCATTTTATGCAGCTAATGACGTGGCTACGGGTATCAGCAAATGGCACAGCCTCAAAGAAAGGGGAGGTGTGGGTCAGACAGATCCCTGCCTCAAAGCACGGGGGCATTTGATCTTCCCAATGAAATGGTTGTAGGATGTTTTTGTCGGTGGTATGAACCCAAGTTCCTCCAGCTCTGCTTCAGCTGAACCGTCTTTGCTGGTTTGTTAAAACAAAATTATAGTGCTCACTCTGAAGCACATGATGGAGCTGGAGGAAGTCAGCACCAGCAGTTAGTGCCTGGCAAAATCATTAGCAATTAAATGTACATCTTACAAGAGGAAATGTCAATGAACCTTCACCTCTGTATTTTATAAAGCAGAAGGGTATTTCAGTGATCTTGCAGCCACAGTTGTGGTAATATCTCTGCTCCTGAGCAGAAAAATTGTTTATTTACACTTCGTAAAGAGAGGTGTTAGGTAAATAAAGTCGAACAAAGCCACTCTGTAACTGGATCTCATTGAGTAGTCTGGATTAATGTGATTTTCTAACCTTCCAGGCCTCTGCCCTACCTGCTGCTCAGAGTATTTGACCTCCTCAGGAATGCGAGTTTTCAACATCATTGCAACACCTTCCCTTCCCACACACATTCAAAGGCAGAAAAAAACCCCACAACCCACCATCAAAGCCACTGGGATGTATCCGCTAACCTTATTAAACCCTTTATCTGCCTTGCCTCACTGCAAGGTGTGTGACAGGCAACTGGGATTCCTTCAATCTGCTTACACAAAGCCGTGAGAGAAATGCACCCAAGAACATCGGCTTGAGCAGCTCCATTTCAGGCTGTACATGAAGATTAAAGTGTTATCATCAGCTTGAAAAATATCAACCGTGGCACATTTTGGTTTGTGTAACTCTGTATCGTCAGACTGTGCTGTGATAGCACAGCCCTAAACTGGTCTTTTTGGAATGCTGGAAACAGCTACCAAGCCCTTATGATTTCCAGCTTTCTTTAAATAATTCCTGAGCAAGGTCAAGAGATGGCATAAGGGTCCTCTGATGAATAAAGAGGAGGGAGGCAGCTCTTGTTTCTCTTGAGAGCCTCTTCACCTCCTCCCTCTACAGGATGTTGCCCTTCCTGGG